CTATTTGGCCACTTTTTCCAATGAAAATTACGTGAAAATAAATGTTTACATTGAGAATTCATCTCTGGTAGTGAGATTGAATCGAAAAAAGTGGAAAATATCAGAGTAGTTTCAGCGAATAGTGATATAACCTCAAAATTCGACGAACATTTGTTTTGCTTGTGGGAAGTGGCATCTTGGACTGATTCCGAACAAAAATATATGAAATCGATTCCAAATTCTCTGCTCTATCAAACTTAAACTACCATTTTCTGTTTATTTAATACCGAAAACACCCTACTGTACATAATAGCATAGGCAGACTTGTTGACAAATACTGTACTACAGATTGCGATGAAAAAACGCAACGCATAGAATTCAGCTGCTGAGCCAGCCAGAATGTTTTCAGTTAGCTAGCTGACATTAGCCAAATACATTGTCTGTGCATGGCAGTTTGTTTTTTGTTAGTTTAGCTCTGAGGCTTAGATGCTTCGGTCGAAATGCAATCAAAGGATTGGCACATACAAGTATGCATATGAAATGTTACCGAATCGAATAGCAATTGCAAATGCCTCAACTCACCCATAATGATGCATAAATAAATGACATATTTGGCATTCACGCAATCATTAGTGCGCGTATATTGCACATTTTTACGATAATGTTTTTATTGTATAAAATGAAATAAATAAAATCAATTAATCGTATCGTTTTGGCAGTATCGAAATGTGAGAGAGATATTTTATGATTTGAACAGAGAATGCCTGATTTTTGTGGAGGGCGAAGATTTGTTTTTTTTTTATTGTTGTTTCGTCGAACGAAGAATGCTTGTATGCTAAACAAATTCTAAATATATATGATCAATGCATTTGTCCTTTCTCTTTTCATCCAAGCGGAGAAATGTGAACTGTGCTCTGCCTGCGTTGGAATCGTAAATTGATTTATGCGGTTTTCCTATTAGTGCAGCAGCCTTCAGTGCACAGAAATTGAAACATTAAACAATCATCAAACAACGCTTTAACATCCTCGTGAGATTTTGATGTGTCACCAGAGTAATCGCACACGAGCGCTCACGCTCACGCACATACATCGAATGGGATTTTAGATGAAATTGTTTTGATATTTTCTTTATACGGCATGCTGCTGCTGTTGCTGTTTTTTTCGTCATCCATTCGCATGATTATGTATTTATTGATGAGTTGCATCGCATGACAGAGGTCGCGGGAGAAAGAGTGAGATAGAGATGGATTATATGCATAAAACCGAGTCGCAGTTCTTCAAATCAATGAGTGATTGTACGCGCGCAAAAATGCTTT